GAGTTTGGACAAGTTAATTTTTAGCTGCCCCTTGTGACCAGTATGCTTCCTGTCTCTTAAAGATGATGTTAAAACTCAAGCATGAAGTTAAACCAACAAGCAGACCTGCAGACTAGCCCCAGGAATATTTGTATCAGTGGTGCCCTGAAGGTTCGATTAAATTATGTATTGGAGAGTAGCAGTGTGAGCTGTGGAAAAACTGATGCATTACAAGATAACAGGTTAAGATTTGTCTCTTTAACATTTAGAGGAATTTCTTTTCTCTTACCTTATGATTGCATGGTAGGAGTCTTACATGTTGACCAAGGTGAAAGGGCTTCAAGCAGCATCTGCACTGAATACCTGGAGCAAGTAAATGACTCTGTTTCCCAACTAAAATGTTGGGTAAAGATTTCACAATCCTCCTTGGGGTACAACTAGTCCCAAAACAAAACAGATAAAAAAAAGTTTAGTAAATTAGGAAAAATGGCAAATAAAATTGAACATTTAAGAATAAGTAGGCTTTTGACAGAAATTTATTTTTATTAGTACGTTTAATTTTAAATGGGATAAACAATCCTCTAAACAGCAGCTGCTGTGAAAACCATTCCAGTGATGTCCATCTTACGATCACAGGCATGAGTGGACACACCTTCCAGAAAACCAGCATGTACATCTCACCTCAACAGCTGCATAATTACATTTTACACAATAATTTCTACATCAATTTCTCCGAATAAAAAGTACAAAAATTTCAATGTGCGATCATATCTTGCTTTCGTTTGATTCCAGATTCCTAATTATACCCATTAAACCAAATCTTGATATCTTGTTTGCAGTAAGTAGCATTCTTCTCATTTTTAATTAGGAGCGCACAATGTTTGTGTAAATGTCTCAGTAAATCCTTCTTCTTAGTAGTTTTTTAAATAGTTTTGACAAAGAAGTAAGGCAGAGATAAAAGTCTGATTAGCTTTCAAATAGTGAAGGTTTTTATATTGTATAAAAGAATGACCTCTTTGAATATATGTTCATAATACAAGGTTGCAGAAATACCTGCAGTCTTTGACTTCAATAGTATTGGTTTGTTTCTGAGATGATTCTTGAATGTGACTTTCTGAGGTTTTCTAAATGTTGATCTTTTCTGCATGCAGCAACTACATCAGGTAGTTCTGTCTTCCTGGTGAGAAGCCTTGTACATTGCTATGGCAGCTCCAGAGAAAAGCAAAAGCTTTTGCTTCTCTTTGTATCATGTGTTTCATTTCTGTACAATCCATTCTCATCACCATTTGTTATGCCAAATTTTTAGAAGTGAAAATTTGATGGCTTTTTTTTAATACTGCTAAACAAAAACTTTAAATATCTTTAAATATTTTTCAGTATTTGTAGTATAAGTTTATAAACCGTATGAAAAGAATTATTTAGTTTGCAAATTACAATTAATATTTAACTATTTTAGGGTGATTTGTTGTGTAATTGGAAGTATGAATTAGTATGTGCTGTTTTTAAAATATTTATTGCTCTGTGTATAGTACTTTTTTTTTCAGATATTGCTGAAATAAAGAAACGGTTTAGAAAACTCTGCACATTTATCATAAAAAGTAGGATGGAAAAAGACTGTCTCTTACTTCTCCTGGAGATGTAATACTGGTTCTTCAGAATTATTTCCTGGCCTAAAGCTTTTAAAATTTTCTCCTTCAGCTGATAATTCTGAAAGCTGGTCAAGAGATCTCCATGTCTTATTTCTCTTCTATAATGTGTAAAAGAAATTGCAATAAGCTAAACTCAGGATATAAATTATCTTGTAAATGACTGAAAGAGGTGCTGAGAACAATTCAACAAATTTGTTTCCTAACTATTTTTGTTGAGGCAAATACAGCTAACAAATATGTTAAGTGAAATAACTTATTTAAATTTTTGCAAAGCATGAAACAAAAACCATCTAACATCTTGAACTAACACTTGGAGAAAATATCCTTGGTAGCAAAATTAAGTTCAAATACCAGTTGAAATATGTATGGTTATGATTGTTACGGTAATCTGAATTCGCTGACTCTACCCTGGTGATCTCATGGTATGAAACAACCAGCTAAGGGCAGTACAAACTCAGAGTGAAACACCTTGGGTCCTTAATTTTTTTTTGCATCCCCTGGCCAACTATAAGGCCTTATCTACATAAGGAAACTGGAAATGTGGATCAGTAAACTAAGATGCATTTGCTCCTACTGACCACATAAGGGCGCCACAAGTATAACTTACACAGGCAGAGGCTAACTCAGCTCTTCTAGTTTTAGGTGTTCAATTTTTGCACCTCAGGATTCTCAATATCCTGCTATACATTGCTCTTATTTAGCTGTAATTAAATTCAGGTTTTGCATGACTTGTCTAAGGAAAAGAAGATCAATTAACACTACATAGATCAGAGTAGGATGCAAAAAAGGAAACCTGCTTGGTACCTGTCTGAAGACAAAAACATGGGGAGAATGAAAAAAGCCAATGAAACATTCATGACATAGGTGATACTCAATACACTCAGTGCACCTATAAGGAAAAATGTAAACACAGAATAAGGACTTAAGGTAACAAATAGCTAGCATTTCACGATGCAGTGGTAGCTAAATTTACCAGCTGGAAAAGGACAATCCCAAATACATTTCTTTCTTAAGGAAGTTTTTGTGGACAAGCTCCCCAGTAAAGTGTAATTTAAAACTAAAGCAGAATAAAATTAAGTTTGTGCTGTAAGGCTCTGTAATTTACACATTGAGATCTTTACTATTCTGAAGTACTTGAGACCTATTATAATTTTACCCGGGAAAATCGTCTTAACCTGAAATGATCAAATATATTCTTGATATTTGATGTGAACTTGATTCAGAACAAGCGCTAAGAAAAGAGTCATTAGTCCACTTGATGACCGTGGCAGACAATTACAGAAGTGAAACTGCCCATCTTGACCAAAGTTCAGGCAGGCAGCTAATTAAATTGCCCACAGTCCTCAGGAAATCCAGTCAGAGCAGTCCGAGCCTTCGTGTAAGTAGTGCTGTGATATAAGAAGCTCTTTTGGTCTTCATGAAATTGAACACCAATAAAGCAGTAAAGAATTCTAGAATGATGATTCCTTTCACACACCATTAACAATTACATCTCTCTATCTTTTTTTTTTTTTTTTTAGATAATTTCAACTGATTTGGGAGAAAAAATGTGTGGATAGAATTTCTGTGTATTAAATTGTTCGGTTCCTTCTAAGAAAGACAGAGGATAAACAAAATGCTTTAAGGTAAACTCAAAAACATAATACGGACAATATCTTGATCTTAAAATACTTACTTGTAGCACCTTCCCACAATTGGAAATACTCTGCAATTATTACAAGGAATTCCAAGGTGCCTATCCAGGCTTGCCCTCTCTGCTGCAGTCACGAGTTGACTAGAGTTTCTGAATTCTTCCAGAATGAGCTTTAGAGGTGCAAATTCTTCCCTGCAGAGTGGACACTTTACTACAGAATCAGGCCCGAGTTCATCTTGGTGATCAGCCCAAATTTTCATACATTTTATGTGTACATTGTTACCACAGCTGTATCTGAAGGAAACAAATGAGAAATTCTGTAATCTTTCCATAAACCTCTTATATTTCCATATAAGCATTTATATTTCCATATTTCCATAAGCAACTTCTATAGCAGCCTTCCCTTTCCCTCCTTCCCCTGCCCTCCACTGCTTAAGTCCCGGGACTGCTGATTTTTCTGTATTGGAAAAGGTTCTGACAACTGTCATACATTCTTGTGAATTGAAGCTACCAGCACTAAGAGGTCACTGTAACAGTCTGTAATTAGAGCAAAGCAAAGAACAACTATACATTTAACCTGCAGAAAGTGATAGGGAGCATCATCTTCAGGAACTCCTCCTGACAAATGGGACAGACATCCTCTGTACTGATTCCTTTCTGATGAATGAAGAGAATCTCGTTCTCTTCATTTAATGGTGGTGAGAAGGCAGCTTGTTCAGGTCTTAGGGTCTGCTCCTGCTGTAATCGCTGTAGTATGTCCTCAATTTCTCTTTCCAGAAGACCCAACTTAAAAGCATCTACCAAAATAGAAAAAAAATAAAGCTTTTTGGCAGAACTCTGCACTTACCTGTAATAGCTCTCCACCTATACAATGCAGGGAGAGCATTCTGGATTTATTTTGGTACAAAGTTCTTTTATAAATTAATAGCTATTATTAGAGGCATATGTCTCTACATTGTATTGTCTCTACATAGCTACATTGTTTGGCTTTGGCGTTTTCCATGTTTATATTTTTACTGAAACTAAAGTTGTCCTCTATATAACTGCATAACTACACAACACAGTGTCCTATATCATAAAAATTAAATGAATCAGAAAATGCCAATCTAAAGGGGTTTTTTTTTGTTTTGTTTGTTTTGTTTTTGAGGTAGAGGAGTGAGAGGAAGAGAGCACAGATAATGATATCTAAACAAATTTTATCCAGACATCCAAGTATAATGCTTTGGGCATTTAAAGTAGCTAAGATCTACATGTAAGCCATAAAAAAGTCTAATACTTACATTCATGATCTCTTGGTAATCGGTATTTTTTCAGCAATATCCTGCAATACATAATCAAAATATCTAGCAGACAAAAACATCAAACTAAAGTTACTTGTTAGTTCGGTCTTAAAATAAAAGTGGAACATCTACGAGTCTTATGTGGATTTACATTACGTTAACCTAGTAAAACACTAAGTTTAGTGAATTTAAAAGAAAACTGCCATCAGAGGAATGGCCCCACTCCACGCTCATTCCTGTCACTTCCTGTACTTGTCTCAGTGACCTGGTTACTCTCCCAAGACTGACAAAAAAATTACACAAAAAAAGAGTGATTTTCTGTTGATTCAGAGATTTGTTCACCCCGCGAAATCCTGAGCTAAACAACACACATGTAATAGGGAAAAGGGGCCTACTGCTGCTCGCAGCAGCAAACCATTTCTGCCTGTCAGTTAAACCCCTTAAGGAACAAGAAAGGACAGAGGTAAATAGGCACTGGTAAAATTTGTAGACCTCAGGTGTAGGACATCTTCTAGCACCGCAGCTTAAACCCTAATGGTGGCTGCGTGAGCTTATTCCATACGCTCCTGGATGCGGCTCCTAATTGGCTTCTGATTAGAGGGGGCAGCTACCTGACCCTGCAGAATCCCCCTACGCAGAGTTGTGCTTGAAGCTGCATGGGATTCTCCGTGGCTCTGAAACAGGAACATAACGTAGGCAAGACGTGCCCATGCGGGTCCCGCGCCACTGCCTTTGACACCGCATTGACTTTGGGTTGTGGCTGCGGGGACGCACTCACCAGCACAGGTGCTTGCAGAGGCCCCTCTCCTTGCGGAAGGCGGCGCAGCTGCACGCGTGCGGCTCGCCCAGGACCACCTGCCAAGGACAGCACCGGGGCTGAGCGCCGCGCGCCCCGCGGGAAGGGGCCGCCCGCACCGCCCCCGCACCGCC